TTTTATTTTCACTGCCTTTGAATGCCAGAGCCACCACACTGGCACAGAGCGGGAGGTGAGAGAGGAGGTAGAGGGACGTCCATCCGAGGTGGATGGACAGAGCAGGCACATGAAGAGACTAGGGACAGAAGCATCCTGAAGTCTTAGAAGGAAGTGTGCTTTGCCAGGCAGAAAGCAAAGGATGAGATAGACTGAGGGCCGCCAGTGTCAGACGGTCACACAGGGCATCCCTCAGGGCCATTGAATATCTGAAAATCTGGGTGAACATGAATATCACGTACGCTTGTCTGTAGGGACAGGACCCCAGTCACAAAGCTGGGACTCAGTACAGTCCCGTCTCGTCAGAGGCCTATAGGGCAGAGGGAGCCAAGCAGAAGCAGGTTAATAGAACCAGGTGAGAGATGGAGAAACTGGGATGGTGGTGCCAGACACTCACTGGGAACAATCATAAAACTGGAATTGTTTCTGCAAGGTCCTTTCTCAGAATTCTGTTACCCAGGCAGCTCAGCTGGAGAGCAGGCTGATCCCTCGACTGCCCTTGAGGGAGGGAGATCTGTCAGTACAGAGGTGGCATTTGTCCAGCTGCTCGTGGATTCAGCAGCCCAGGGAGGGAGAGTGTGAAATTACCCAAACGGAGAAGTGGGGGAGGACAGAGAGGAGATGGATGAAGGCATAAGCCAGGGACTGGGGGGAAGGATGGTGCAGCGGAAGAGGAGCGACAGAGAAGTCAGAAGTCACTTACTCCTCTGCTTTGCCTATAAGGCTACAGATTCATGAACTTTTAAAATGGGAGATGAGAGCCTATAACAGAAGGATGAGGTGGAGGCAGAGCAGCCTTAGGAATATGACAAGTAGTTAAATAGAAGGAAAGCTAGTTAAACATACCTCCACTAAAGAAGAAAAAAAATGATCCAAGTTCCTAACCACCTGTGAGCATAAAATGAAATGTGAAAACATTTTTAAAGATTAAAAGGATTATTTCAGTGTGAGGTGGGTTTCTTGCTACATGAATCACAGGGAAGACTGGTCAGAGGCCGCCCAGATTACGAGAATAATCCCTGTAGCGTCTTCGCCTGCCATGATTGTTGGTTCTCTTTTCCAGGGCCGTCCAGCAGGAGACCTGGAGGAGATTGACAGTTATTTAGAAGCTTTGCTTAAAGAAGATAATCCCTTTTTTTCGAAACGCTTTAAATAAAGTGCCTACAGATATAGGACATGGTCTCCCTTTAGAAAAAAATTGAAGGTACTTCTCAAAATTAAAAGTCAGAAAAGATACTCCCTTTTTTAAAAGGCTAATAAGAAAAAGGAAGATTCTTTTCAAAAAACATTTCCCCTTGTACTCGTTATTGTACGGTTTGCCCTGTTTAACTCTAAAAAAATTGTGTACTTTAGAAATGGAGACTGATTTACCATCGACATATTTGCTACCCTGTTCCCTAACTCTTCCTGTTATTTCAGAAACTTTCTAGAGTTCTTCAGTTCCCATGTGAGCTACTAAGAAACATGGACATGTCAGGCTGAGTTTTGTTTTCATGTAAATGACTATAAAATCTAGAAAGCAGTGGTTTTCGAAATCAGGATACAAAGGACTACAGAGTCACCTCCCCTTAAAACTTGTGTTGGAAAGGAAAGACCATATGTCCTTTCTCCACCACAGCCATTACTCAGTTAAAGCAGAAAATATAAATCCTCAGAAACTTTAGTATATTATTTATATGATAATTCTATTGTTGTAGTAAAGTACAAATCTTCTAAGTACAATGTGAACATATATTACACATATGTAAGAATTGTGTTTTACCTTTTCCTTGATAGCTGATTATTTTTCTAATTTGGATATGTCTACAACTTTGAACAAACGCAATAAAACATTTTATATTTGTGGAATTGTATAATTTTAATTTTATGTACATATGCATAGTGCAAAATTCAGACCATGTGAGATGGAATATGGTGGGAAGTCTTCGCTCCATCCTTGTCTTTGTTTTTTAAGTTTATTTATTTATTTTGAGAGGGGGAGGGGAGAGAGAGAGAGAGAGAGAGAGAGAGAAAGTGGGGGGGGGGGGGGAGGGTCAGAGAGAACAGGAGAGCTAGAGAATCCCAAAGTAGGCTCCTTGCAGTTCGCCCTGTTGATGTGAGCCTCATATGCATGAACTGTGAGATCATGACCTGACTTGAAATCAAGAGTCAGATGCTCAACAGACACAGCCACCCAGGCACCCCTCATAAGTTTTTATTTAAAAAATTTTTACGGTGTTTGAGCCATATGGAATTACATTTTTTTTAAATTTAACTTCCTTTTGTTTACGCTCTCTGGTTTTGTAGTCCTATTTAGAGAAGGCATTCTAATGCCGAAAGTATAAAGAAGTTTTACCTTGTTGTAATGGCTTTAATTATTATTATATTATTAAATATTTATCTAGAACTTATTTTGGTGAAGGGAGTAAGTTAAAAATCCAACTGTGTGTGTTTCCAGATAGATACAGTATTGTCCTCAAACTGTTAGTTGAATAATCAGACTCTTCCCCACCGATCTGCAGTGCTAACCTTTCCTGAGTGTTAAATTCCGATTTGTACTTGGGCCAAGTTCTATAAAAAAGTCTATTATTTTTCATTGATTGTTCCATCTTTTCTCATGTTGGACCCAAGTTGTTTGGTAGAGATAGTCAGTAATTTTATATTTGAGAATTTTCTTTTCGATCTTTGCATGTTTAATTCTTATCCAGACTTAGAATTAGCTTTTTTAGTCAACACCCCACCCCTCCCCTCAAACTTTATTTGCATTTCGTTTGGCATATGGTGGTATGATAGATTAAGGTAGAAGTGCCTTTTTTAAATATCAAGTCTTCCTACCCAAAAACAAAATATGCTTTTTTGTATGTTCAAGTCCTTATTGGGGCCCTGTATTAGCATTTAAAATTTTTCTTCAAATATGTCAAGCACACCTTCTAGTTAATTTTATTGTAATTTAGATTTATTCTTTGACCTTTTATAAATGAAGCCTTTTCCCCATTATCTTATAACCAGTTAATGTTTTATGTAGCAGGATTCCTGAGTTTGGGATATCAATATTGTACCCAATATAAGAATTCTTATGCTATTTGTAATAGTTTTAAAGGGTTTTTCCTTTATCAGCAAGTAATCATTATGCAGATTTTTTGAAAAGCATAATTTATGTGAAGAAACATGTAAATTTGATTTGTCCAAAATTTTCCTTCCACAGGGGATTTCCTTGGCCCCTTGAAAACTTCCATTAACTTCTTCTTGCATTGTCAGTAGCCATTCTTTTCATCTAAAAAGTAATGATTAATAACTGTTAATGGTGATAAGAAGTCAATGCCTCTGAGCGTCCTTCTGGCCGACCTTTAGGAAGAGTCTGCCCAGGGACTTCCCCAGAGATTGGTTTTGGAAGATTCTAGCAGGACCCTCCACCTATTTCCTACCAGGACTGTGTCCTCATTATTTCATCTTTTTTCTTGTTACTCTGCCTAAGAAATCTCACCTACTCTATTTGTTTCAAGTAATACTTCCAAGTGAAGGTGTTCCAAATTTCTGTAACCTTCCTGGACACATGTTCTTTAACTGTAATTATGGATTCAAAGATTTTTCTATTTAAAGTCTACGGTGGTATATATGAAACAAAATTAATCACATATACCCGAGCCACGCCTATTCCCTGCCAAGGCCCCAAGGACTCCAGTTCTTGGGGAATCTGGGGTTTTAAGTAGGTAATCAGTTAGGACTAAGGAATAGGACCTTAAGACAGAAACCAGACTTAGGAACTGAGTCAGTACAAGAATTGAGGGGGAAATGGAGTGGGGTTAGGAGGGGTAACCATGCTTGGGACCAGATGATTCTCGGAGGAAAGAACATAATTCTGTTGCTCCTACGCATGGTTGGCAGCAAGATAGCTTGAGGACCACACAGGGCAATTCCTTTCCATTACTGTTCTTATGCTCATTCACTCAGTTTTCAAGTCCTTTGCAATTGGGGCTTGACTCAGACTAGATTAGCTTGGGAACGGGAGTGGGACAAAACTAGCAGGCAGGGGGCCTGGGTAGAAGCAGACTTGACAGACAGAAAAGACAGAAACAGCAAAAAAAAGAAAAAGATGGGGCGCCTGGGTGGCTCAGTCTGTTAAGCATCTGACTCTTGATTGCAGCTCAGGTCATGATCTCCGGGTTCGGGAGATAGAGACCCGCTTAGGAGCTGCCAGCCTGGAGCCTACGTGGGATTCTCTCTCCCTCTCTCTCTTTGCTCCTCCCTGGCTGTGTAAGCATGCCTGCACATGCGCTCTCTCAAAATAAAGAAGATAAGAACGATGCCAGAAGACATAGCTCAACATGTCCCTGTGTCTGCACACTGCCTACCACATCTACAACATTCTTACTACTGATAATATGGTTATCTCTACCCATTTCCCTCTTCTCTACATAGATGCCTTCAAGTTTAACAACACTCAGAATGTATACTTTTTCCATGGTTTTAGTATATTTTACATCTAGGTTTATTTTGACAGTATTTAGGTATGAAAAGGCGAATATCCTTGTTACTCTTTTACAGATGGGAACAGTGATACTGGAGAAACTGTTTCAGTCCCAAGCTTCCTGAATGCAACTCAAAGTTCCTTCCATTAGCTCCCCTCCACAATGTAGGCATAATTTATGGCTAACCATATGGCAAGGACAGTATCACCTCTGCCCTTCACAGAACACTGTATCTCTGAATGGCAGTGAGCACAATCCCATCAGTTAGTGATAAAAGGCCCAGTCTTAAAACTGTACAGATGAGTTAATCTTACTGGCTTTCTATTCTTATTTAGCCTATAGCAGTAAGAGGTTTAGACTAGCTTTCTAAAGGCATATGTTAGCCTCCACTTCTAGCGAAGAGTGAGGAACTAAATCCGGAGAGACCTTACGTGAAAACAACCTGAGAAAAAGCTGCAGACTGTGAATCACGATGGGAAATAGCGAATCCATAGCTGGTGGTGAGAAAGCAGTTCCTGCTAAAGAGACCTATGTGTGGTACAAAAATTTATGAGGGAATATCCATCCGGCCTGCAAACACTGCGTGAATTTAAGACACTCTTGGGTCTGCAGGGTCTGAATCAAAAGACCAATCAACATGTTGATCAAGTCTATAATACCTTTGACATGAACAAGGTAAGACCTTTCCTTTTTATTTGGCGGTGGTTTGCATTTTCCCCTCTGTAAAAATATGAAATAGCCTGAGGTAAAATGTGTGCATCTCACTGAACAGGGAGGTCTTCAGAGAACCCACAGCTTGTAGGTAAGTGAGTCATTAAACACATTTAGCACTGATGGCGTGAAAGTAATTGGGAACTAGCCTCTCCACCCTTGGAAATGTTATGCATGTAGCGAGTTATTTTAAAACCAAATTAAATCTCGGCATGGAATTCTAATGCTATCGTTTAAACAAATCTAATAAGTGCAGATTGATTTACAAAGACTGTTTTCAAAGTATTTAATGCGTTGGTGACATTTTATAGAAAAGCAAATTACAGGAATCTGCTTTAAAAAGTGTGATTGCATCTAGATTGGCAGGTAAAATCAATACAAATTTGCCAACATGTTGTTTGTACTCAGAAATTGGAATGCTGGAATAGTTTTTCATATCTGACCGGTTTAGTTGGAGGAAAAACAAAACAATTCACAGTTTTAAATTCAGATAAACTTTAGTTTCTAAAGGTTATTACTCAACTATTGTCTTGAATTTACTCCTAAGGAGTTGCAGCATATTTAATTTTCAAGTCTTGGAAAAATACAAAGATGAGGAGGAGAAAATGGGGAACAGAAAAAATAAGACACAAAAGTAACAATCTGATCTACCCAGGACAGAATTCTTCCTGCCTACCTTTCCTCATGCAGTTCAGTTGTTTTTTACCTGTATAGTTCAAAATGGGCAGGTGGCATCTAGAATAAAAGGGAAAGGGGAAATATCACGCATTGAAAAGTAGATGACTTTTAGAAGGCTGTGTGTGAGAATAGATGAGAAAGAAAGGATAATTAAAACAATTGACTGTCCTTTGGGATGCATGGAATCTAGCACAGCCCTTTGAGCCCTTTTCCAAATAAAAACAGACAAACCAAAATAACAGAGCACTCAGAAGGAAGTGCCAGCCAAGAACTAGGGAAAACTGAACATGTGCAAAATTAACAGCTATTTTAATTCTTGTAATAATGTTGGGAACAGATCTCATTTAGGACATAGTCTTTCAGGACACGTTCTTTGTTATCAAGCGTGAGTGCAACACTGCCTGTATTGTATGGAGCTGTTTTCCTCCTCATAAATTTGACTTTGTGTGGCTGCAAACGAACTGTTCTGCCCCCAGGGAGCTTACAAAACAGTGGGAAAAGGAGGCAGATTCTGCTTTTGTTCTTGATGTTGTAACATGTTCTAGAAATGCTCTAAGCTGAATTTTTGTGCTCCTCTCAACCTGAAAAATAAAAGTGCCAGTTATTGTGCCAGCAAATATGGGATTAATTGGAAATAGAGAATTGCAATTTTGGATAGGCAGGCTATGGCAAAACCATAGGCCAAGTCTGCAGAACAAAGGAGAGGAACACTGTAGCACAAAGGGTGAAATCAGGAAGGCTTTTATAAACAAAAAGTCGACTGGAGTAACTGGGGGGTGGGGGGTGGGTGAGGTACAGTGGCTTTTTATTGTCTGAATTGTTTGTGACAATATCTCATTGGCTGGACTGTTTCCCCGGGTCAAGGGGTGGGGCCCTTTTTCCTTCTGCTGGGGTGGTAAACAAGTAGAATCCACAAGCAAGTTGCAGTCTCTTCCCGTTGGGTCAGCAATCGATGAGGAGTGGTAGGGTGTGTGAGCTCCCCCTGCTGGCCTCCCGACTCCATTCTAAGTGAGGTTTCCTCTTTTATTTGGCACAAGCCCAAATTATGTTGAAATCTAACCCCCTTCCCCTCCCACATTGTAGTATTTGGAAGTGGGGTCTTTGGGAGGTACTTAGGTCATGAGGCTGAGCCTATGGGATTAGTGCTGTTACAAAGAGACTCCAGAGAGCTTCCTCCTTCGTGTGAGGATGCAGTGAGAAGGCTGATGGGCGATGAACCAGTTAGTGGGCTCTCACCAGACACAGAATCTGCCAGAGCCTTGATCTTGAATGTCCTCAGTTAAAGAACTGTGAGAAATACATTTCTGAGTGGTTTAAACCACCCAGTCTATGGTATTTTTGTTATAAGAGCCTGAAGTGACCAGGACAGGATACAGTGTGCATGTTGGCATGTCGTCTCTCCGTCTCTCTGTTTCCGCCCTCGCTGTCTTTGTCTCTGCCAGTCTATGTTTCACTCTCTGTGTGGCCGCTGCTGCGTCCCACTGTGCAACCCATTTCACTTTTACTCCAGACCGCAGCTTCTCAGACTCTGACAGAACTCCCGAGAAGTTAGAAGATGAGGCGTTAGCAGGGTTTGTTTGTTTGTTTTTAGTTATTCTTCCAAGTAACTGGTGACATATGCTGTGGCAGCGATTTTGTGGTTAGGCCAGTGGCGGTGGGAGCACTGCCTGTCAGCGGTTCACGTGCAAGAACAGGAACATGTGAGAAGGAGCGCTGGGCAGAAACGAGGAGGGCTGTCAAAACGGAGCGCTGCTGAGGCGGCGGGGCAGACCGTGTTCAGATAGGCGGGCTGGCATGTGCGCCACTCGAGTGTCCTCTCGGGGCCAGTGGCTGGCGGGCCAAGGCCATCTCAGGGGCTGTACTTAAATGACTTTGAAGTTCTGCTCGTGTTCATGATTTATCATTGAGATTTTATGTTTACTTAGGAGGCAGGCACATCTAGGCAGTGATGACTAATGCCACGCAAGGTGTGGAGATCTTGATATAAAATCAGATTGTAAGATGAGAAGAGTAAGGATGGTTCTTTATCAAGTGATAGTAGGAAATGATATGCATTTAGGCACAGGGAAACAAAAAAAAAGCCATCTCTTTAATTGGATCGGTAAAGCCATCAGCTGTCCAGCACCCTGGAGGATTTGCTCTTTCTGTGGAGCTCTGCTTAACCATCCTGGATGGAAATCATTCCAAAGTGCATTTCATCCTTTCCTGCCTCCTCAAAGTACCGCTCAAACCTTTTTTGATAGCAGATTCATTATTATGAACATTGGTTGTTACAGTCTTGAAATGCCACGAAGCACCCATGCCTATTGAAGTTGCTGGGGCTACATCTCCTATTGTTAAAAATCCTGAAAATAATGTGCTTTTGTCAGGTTTGCTTTTAATTGTTTTCCTCTTTCTCTGCTGTCAAACACACCCTTCCAAGCTTTCTGGTTCTTCTAATAATAATGAGCTTCCAATCTCTTTTTCCTCTGCCATTTCTAGCCTGGCTTTCACTTGTACCTGTTAACTAAATGTACTAGAATAGTGCTTAAAGTAGAAATAAATAGATCCTAAAGTTTAGAGCATCAGGTTTATAACAATTCCTTTGGCTAATCACACACCTCGGGCCTCTCCTTGTCACTCAGTGACAACAGTTAATGCTTGAGACGTGTCTGACACTGTGTTAGGCACAGTACGTAGAGTGATGCATTCAACATCACAGCAATAATAGAACCTACCTTAAGGTAGCGCCCATAAGGTTGGCACCTCAGACCTTCTCAGAAGGTAATTGACTTGGGGCCCCAGTGCATTGCTTGGAAATCCTTCACCACACACAGAGTCCATGCTTGGGTTTAGATTATCACCAGAGTTTGATTGCAGTGGAAATAAGAAGGCAACCCATTTCTAAGACGTGGGATTCCTTTGTCAGCAGGCTTTGACCCAAGGATTCCCTGGTGGCTTTGTCAAACTGTAGGTTTCAGGAGTGCCTAGGACACTTCTGTCCACACTTCTTTTTATACCTTTCTTCGGCCGGGTCAGATTAGCTCACTCAGCCTTTCCTGACATCCTTTCTGTTTACGTCCACACAGCAGTTCTCCAAATAAAGTCTTTAAATTGGGATTAATAGGTCTAATATCCAATGAATGAGAGCCACAGAAAAAGAGCCCAGAGAGAATGTAGGGTTATAACAAAAGAAACCAGAAAAATTTTCCAGACCTATTAGATACAAGTTTCACAAGGGCCTAGCACAATAAATAGAAAGAGATTGACTGACAGCATATGTGGAGAATTTTTTTTTTTTTTTGAGAGAGAGAGAGAGAGAATGCATGGGAGGAGGTGCAGAGTAAAAGAGAGAAAGAGAATCTCAAGAAGGCTTCATGTGGGGCCTGAAGTGGGGCTCAATCCACAACCTGGGGATCATGACCTAAGCCAAAATCAAGACTGGGATGCTCAACCAACTGAGCCACCCAGGCACCCTGAGAAAAAAAATTTGTAATGTTTTTTAATGTTCAGTTATTTTGAGAGAGAGGGAGAGACAGAATGGAAGCAGATGAGAGGGAGGGCAGAGAGGGAGACAAACAATCTGAAGCAAGCTCTAGGCTCTGGGCTGTCAGCACAGAGGCCAACATGGGGCTCAGAGTTGTGAACTGCAACACGATGACCTGAGCCAAAGCAGATGCTTAACTGACTGAGCCACCCAGGGCCCCCCTGACATAGGGGATGAAAAAGATGATCCTAATATCTAAAAAAAAAAAAAAAATCAAAAACAAAATAACATTGAACTTCCTAACATCTACACTAGAGACTAAGAGTAAATGGAGAAATGCCTCCAGAATTCTGAAGGGGAACATTATCAAGCCAAATCACATATAAGGAGAGAATAAAAACAGTCAATGACTAAAAAACTTGCTTCACATTTATTTTTTCTTAGGAAGCTACTGGAGCAGGTACTCAAGCAAAAAGAGGGAGTATATCAACAAAGAGGGAGAGAGTGAATCCAACATAGGAAAACAGATAGGGACAGTTTTGGGTCATGGGACTGAAAAGTCCAAATCAACAGCTGGACAGAAAGCTCAGTGTGCTGCGAATCCAGATTGTAAAGGAAGAGGGAGGACTCCAGGAGAAAGACCTGAAAAAATGACACTGAGAGATTCTCTACTGTGCTTGAGAATTTCAAAAACAATATAAATTTACTAATTTATATTTAATCTGATGGTCCCTTTAAAAAACGAACAAGGTGAAATACAAAGAAAATTATTGACCTTTAAATAAGGCAACTTTAATTTTTTTTTTATTATGAAAACTTC